GCGCGGGGGGGCGGCGCGGGGCGGCCAACTCGCCGACGGGCGGAGCGGAGCGAACCCGCACCGCGCTCCGCCGGCCCCGCACCGCAGCGCTGTCCGCACGGTGCGAACCCGCGGGGGGCCGGTGGGGGGAGAACGGCAGCCCCTCTCCTTCGCACCGGGGAGGGAAGGGGTGTCTCTGCCCCCGGTGAAGGGGGCGGCGAGCCGTCGAGGAGCCGAGAGCATCACCCGCTCGCCTCTTCTCTCCGGCTACTCCGGTCCCCGCCGGGGCGCTCCTCTCGCTGTCTGTCCGTCCGTCCCGTCCCGTCCCGCGGCTCCTGTCCGCCAACTTTTGGGAAGTTCCCTCTGCCGGAGGCGGCTGCGGATGGAGGAGCCCGGCAGGCCGGTGGCGGCGCAGGTAAAGCCCCGGGAAAGAGCCGGGACGGTCGGAACTGCCGAGGAAGACTCCGAGTGCCGGGGCCAGGCGCAGAGGAAGGCTGCTCGTCTCTTTAAGTCCCAGCCTTTATGTCCCAGCCTTGCAGGTGTGTGAGTGTTTCCAGCACGGAGCTGCTGGGCTCTGGGTGGCCACCTGAGAGTGAAGATTTGCCATGTTTCTGTCCTGTGGGTAATTTGAAAGTCTGCTTTGGAGCCTTATGTATCGACCTCCATAATGAATTCATCTAAAAAGATTGTTGATATTAATAGTTTTTTTAAAAGGCTTTGGTTTTTTTGTGTGGTTTGATTTGTGGTTTTTGGGGTTTTTTTTTTTTTTTTTCCTTCAGAGTCTTGTTATTTTAGCAAAGAAATAGCACGGGATATAAATTGTAGCAAAGGAATAGCTCTGGGTGCAAATTGCTCTGTAAGGAGTTTCAAGTAGTCCGTGTAGTGCTGCTTAAAATGTACCATAGAGCGTGTTTTGCTGAGGAGCACACCACTGTCTGCTTTTACAGCAAAACATAAAATGACTTTCAGTTTTATAGCTTGTAAAATGGCTTTAATGAAATATCTCCAGTGTTTTTATGATGTATAAGACAGAGTTGTAAGCGTTTTGGAGATACTGAGCTCTCTCTGTCTCTTTCAATATTCTGTAAGTACGGAGTAACTCCACACAGTTCAGTAAAAGTAGCTGATGGGACAATTTCCTCCCAGTGCCTTTAACTTTTGGTTGATTTATTAATAATAGCATGCAAATGGCTAACGGCTTGGGCAGGTGCTGGATGCAGTGGCCCCAACCAGTGAGTTGCTCTCTAACTGGTACACGAAACACAGCCCATAGTATCCACAAGACATGAACGTGCTGTGCTGGCTTTATGAGTTGGGAAAGGTATTTCCCATTCTCTTCAGCTTTGCTTTAAAATGTGGATGCTGTGAGCTTGTGATCAGTGGTTCTGGGAACAACAAATAGAGACACCCTTCCCTTCTCCCCAAGGTAACTAGTGGTTTATGTTACCTGGCTGGTTGGGCAGCAGCAGATTTGAAACTATTTAGCTGCTTTTATCACCTTTCAAATTGTTAATCACTCCAATGCATTTCATGTCTTAAGACTGCTCTGCTGTGAGTTGAGTTAAAGTTCCTGTGAAAGTGAAAAAGAACAGCTTTCTCTTGAAGCGACCATGGAGATATTTTCCAAATCTTAATCCTTATCAGTAGCCAGTTGTCTGCCAACAGTAAAACCAACACAAGTGAAATCTTTGTTAATCTCCCTGATTGGAGGGGAGGTGGCTGTCAGAACCTGTGTGTGATTAGTGGGGAATCCAGCAGTATGTGCTTTGAAGCAGTGGTAGGTGTCAAGAGACCCATCCTGCTTTGTTGACCTGAGCATCGTTCCTCTTCTGGGAATGCCTTTGCCAAGTCACTAGAGGGGTTGGTTCAGCAGCAGGAAAGCGAGGTGGTCAGACAGATGGTGATGGACTGAAGTTAAGTCAGGTAAAACATCTAACCAGCATCTAATTGTCGTTATCTTGTTTTGCTGAAAACATCATGTGTGTTTAGGATGTTCAGACTTCCATGTTGGGAACCAAGCAGGCTGTCTGCCTCTCGAGGTGCAGAAAGAGAAATCAGGAGGCTCAGCTCAGCTCATGCTCCTCCTGACACCTGAGCAGTGCCATGAATGAGAGGGGCTCAGCTGGAGCACAGCAGCTGAAGTCCTTTGGACAGAGTTTCTCTGCTCATGTTCAAGCCTACCCTAAGGCAGTACAATAAATGAAAAGAACATGTGTTATGGATGTGTCAGCTCTTGCCAAATCCTGGAAGAGCCAAGCCCTCCGTTTCTGGAGCAGGCTCGCAGGGGAAGATAGCAAGAGCCCAGCTACAAGGTCATCCAGCTGGAGCTAAAACTATCGCCTGGATTCAGGCTGGGATGTGGAACTGGCACCGCTTCAGTAGCTGTGGTGGGTGATCACTCTTGTGGGGATGGGGTTTTTGGTCCATCCCCCTGGACCTCTCTGCAGTACTTGGCATGCTTCAGCACTGCTGCTCAGCCTGTTGCTGCGGTGGGCAGAGAGTGTGGTTGTCAAGCAGGGTCTCACAGGGGTACCCTCACCAGTGTGGTCAGCTGCCTGAAGAACATCAGCAGTTCCCTGGAGTTGAATGAGCAGAAGGAGGTGAGCGATGCCTGTGGGCAGAGGAAATCTGGATTCACTGAAAGCCTCAGGCTTCCTCCACAGTGGACAGTTCACATCCATGGTCGGTTGTTCAGTCAGTCATACTGGAGAACTGCTGGCTTTCCTACAGTAACGTCCAGCTACCTGGATGCTTGGAGCTGCCTGTATAGTCCCAGAGCTTCAAACAAAGCTCCAGGCTTTGGTCCGTATGTCCACAGTGCAGGACACTTAAATGGTTGAGGGTGAAGGGCACGGGGAATAACTGCTCCTCTGGCAGGAGAGTCATCTCTATGAGCTTATAGGAAGCAGGTGAGAAGGGGTGAACTTTTGTGGCAGCTGAAAGCCTTCACAAACCTGGCCACCCTGCTGTCCCTGCACTCATGGAGTTTAAAAGCAAAAAACCTGACCTCTAAAACCTTCTGAGAGAAATCACTCCGCTACTCTTTGCCCTTGGGAAGGAGCGATGTGTGTCGGGTGGGTGTTGGTGTGTCCTGTGTTGTTACTGGAAGGTGCCCAGAGCACTGAGCACAGATTAAGGTCCGTGTAGGGAATAATAGGAGTGAGCCGTGTATTACATGGTCAGTACAGAAGCGGGACCAACCGAAGGCTGCTGGCGTGGCTGAGTTCATGGATTTTCATTTGTGGGTCCTGTCAGCTTTACAAGTGTGAAAACCTGTGCCCAAACCGGCCAATATTTTTCAGTGACTCTTTGGGCAGAGGCTCTGGGAAGACCCGTCTCTAGCTCTCCTCAACTTGCTGCAAACTTAAGCATGCAGCCAAAACGTGCATTCCCTGAAACCCCGTATCTCCCACCAGCGCTGTCTTGGAGCTTCATGTGCAGAGAGCGATTTCTGCTGCCTCGTGGGCCCCTTTCCCTCGTGGAAACGGTGTCTCTCCAGGGAGCCAAAACCTCCACGGGGGGCAGGTGGTGCAGGTATAGCTCTAATGAGGTCACTGGGCTCAACCAGCTTTTAATCCTCTGGATATACACTTTGTTTGCATAGCACAGGGGATTTTGCTCTGAGACTGTCACACCGGCCAAAGTCAAGTGTCACACACAAGTCTGCATGTATTATGTCAACACGGCTACTTTTGTCAGCCAAATGTGTGCTCTTAGAGGAAATACTAGATCAGTTTGACAAGCTCTCCGACCAGAAAACTGTGTTGGTGAGCACTAATTGTGTTTCTGTCCCCTAATACTTCTGTCCCTGCCTCTGCTGGGGACCGCAGGGTAACCAGCCCGTGCTCCCCGGGTCAGGCTGTTTGCCCTCAGAAAATATTGGCACAACGCAAAGTTTTTTGTTTGCTTGAGTGGGGTTTTTTTATTTATTGTTCCAAGACCTCTGGAACTTCCTGGCTGGCCTCGGACATGTTTCTGTTCGTTGTTTTATTTAAAAGTCAATGTTGGGGATTTGGTGAGCTCTTTCCTACTCTCTGACCTGCAGGTTTTCTGGTTAGAGATGTGAGAAACGGTTACCAGAGGGTGGTGGGTATCGTCCCAGCTCGCTGCTGCAGTTCAGAGATTCTGTTACAGCAGAGACATAAGTCATCTGCAAAGAGAAAAAGAGATGCTTATACTTTCTACATCTTCTGTACCAGGATAATTTTGTCATACTTTTTTTAGCATCAAGGCTGTTGTATTGATTGGCTGTTGCCTTTTTCCTGGCACACCTATTGCCATTAGTTTTGTGATATCTTTTGGCTTTCTTTATAAGTGTCTTGATTTCCAGCTACTAATTTTATAGTGCATTTTCTATTTGTTATGTATTTTATTTGTTTCCTAATTTAGCTCTTGTCTTAAAAAATTATTATTTTAAACAAAATAAACTTTGCATTGTTTTTTTGGGGGGGAAGGAGGGCTCTACTAAGACATCTTTAAACATCTCCCAAGGAGCAGTGTCCCATTTGCTTATATTTAGGTGTTTTCTCTCAGTTATTTTTGTGTCTAATTGTTTCTAGTTTTGGGAAACTGACCTTTTAAAGATGTTGCGTTGGATCATGTTCTGTTTCCTTATCACAAGTGCAGTTGAGAGTCGTGATTTGTTTTCTTCCAGCTATTGCAGGATTTCCTTGTACTAGAAAGCTATCTATTATATGTAAGTGTGTTGAGATTTTTAAGATATATTTTTTTTTTTTAGCACCACAAACTCTCCATCACCTGCCACAAGCCTGAAATGACATCTTTTCTTTCTGTACATTGCGGGTAGGTGCTTCGTGATCTGCTCATCTGTTCTGCTGATTCATTCGTCTGTGGCAAACTCCCACGAGTGCTTCTGACCCTCTGAAATGTCGGGGATCCTGCAGCAGGTGTCTTGCCTTTCTGGTGGGCTCTGTTGAGGGAAACGTGCTGGTTGTTGGTGAAATGGTTTTGGAGGTTACTGGGACTCTAGGGAACCCTGGAGCTGCACCCTCATCCCCACTCCCTCGGTCCTTTAACGTGGAAGGGTGGCACCCAGCACCCCCTTGGTCTTCAGCAGGGATGGGTGCCTGTGACATCAAATGGGTGAGCTGCTGGCAGATGGTCTCGCTGTTGCTTCTCCACTCTTGGTGGGGAATAATTCATGAGAGTGTTTGCTTTTAGCTTCGTTATTGACTCACTCAACGGGACGGTGATGAATTTACCATGGCAAGCTGACTGCCAGCGATGCTCCCTGTGCCATCAACCACGGGAACATTAACAGCAGCCAACAGGCTGGGGCTTGGCGTGGTGGTGACACAGGCTGTACAGCTGGTGCAGGGAAGCTGTTAGAAGTGGTGTGTTGTGTGAGTAGCCAGGGTGTACCCGGTGCAGCAGCTGTACTTGTGGGCATGTGTGGGTCCCTCCTTGTGTCCCTTGTGGAACTTCCAGTAGAAATTTCTACTCTCCTGACTCCCACACGTTGGTTTTCAGGGTTTTCAGTCCTCTTTGGAGCCGGACTTGAACGCAGCACCATACTTTG